TTTATGTACAACAAGGCTAATGTTTTTATTTTATTTTGAAGATAAAATCGCGTAGTTATCCGGCTTTCTCTAGCACACTTGACGCAGCCATATCAAAAGGTATCGGGCTGGTTATCGTGCGTTCATGTGGAGTGTTAAAGTTAAATCTGGGGCACACTGGCGTCGCTATGCCTCCTATCCACTGTGCCAATAGTCTGCGGAGAACATCGTGGGCAGATTGTTCTTTTGTTGTTAAATAAACGCCGCCGGCAGCTGAAGGCACTATCATAATCGGAAGATTTAATTTTCAAGCTCATTTTTAAGATGCAGTGGGAAGGTTACCGAAAGAGACAAAGCAGATTATGAAAGTTGCTAATGGTGACTGCCAGAATCGGGAAAACTGAACTGAGCGACTTGTGAACAGGTGAGGAATGGCAGGCAGCAGGTGATGCTGATGATCTTAAAAGGTTTAGAAGGTGAAACATGGTGAAACAAAGTTAAAGATGGGTTGGTAATATACTTATGGTATAGGTAGCCTACTTAAACTGACATGCCAGATCAGTCAGCCTACCTTACATTCATTCATTTAGCTGACTCTTTTATCCAAAGCAACTTGTTAGCCTATATATAGCCTATGTCAGAGGTCGCAGGCCTCTGGAGCAACTAGGCGTTAAATCTCTCAAACACCAAAGGCATGTGTCTTTTCCACTGCACCATCACCACCCCACCTACATTTTCACTCCACATTATTACCGTGAGTGTTGTTGCTCATATTGCATTTATACCTAAACCCCCTCCTCCCTCCCTCTCTCTCTCTCTCTCTCTCTCTCTCTCTCTCTCTCTCTCTCTCTCTCTCACACACACACTGATGTTTGCTATTGGCCCTCTGCTGGTTGTCAGCAGTAAAGGATAAGGATAATCAACTTTATTGGTCACATACAATTTTACACACAGTAAAGTGAATGCAAAGCTTGTCCTCTACATTTACAGTGTTTTTCAAGGGTGGTATTATGCTCATTTTCAGGTTCAAAATCTTAATTAGGGGTTGTACCAGAACAGGTTTACATGTTTTAATTTTCAAAAAACACCATACTTTTCTCATACTGCACATTGCTGCAGCTCCTCTTTTCACCCTGTGTGTTGTACGCTCGGCTCTTGAGCTACAGAGTGATGCATCTTACTTGTACAAAATCTTTGTTGGGAGTTGCACATGTGCAGTTCCCAGGTAAGGACTACTAGCCAATCAGAAGTAGAGAAGGGCGGGTCGTAAGAAACAAGGTAGTGTGATCCAAATCAAAGCCGCTTTAGACTGCGACCGTAACCTAGCAGACGGTATAAGTTATTACCAGTCCACAACCACACAACATCATTGTTCCACATCTTACCATTAGGACTAAACGTTGAACTGTTGCCGGTGTTCTGACGATCTATGCTGCCTTGCCGAAAAATGCTACCATAGCGCAAATCGATAGACTCGACTCGGCCCTGCTCCGTTTTCCATCGCAGATAGTACCCAGAGATCGCGACGCCACACACAACTGCCGCGACGTAATGTTCAGTGCGACACACACACACCAGCTCTTAAAATATATACAGTCTACGGTTAAACGTTTCAACATTCCTCAGAATATAAAGACAGATAAGCGGTATGAAAACCTTCCAGCTGTGTTTTCCTCTGCCGTTGTTGCTGCAGCGGTCTGTGTGACGGTGGGAGCACACGCTCCTCCTTCGTGTTGGCACAGGAATCCCCTGCATCTACTCGCGGAGCTTCTCAACTCCAAAAATATTCAAGCACATTTTTGTTACACCATCACTTCTCGTAAAACTGTCAACATTCGAAATCTACACAGCTTATTTCTCACCTCAAAACTTCTCAGAAGTAGATTTAGTGATGAAATTCCATACGAAAACTGTAAAATATAAAACAACTTTCTGTTGCTGGCCTCTGTCTGGTGCATGCAATGATGATGCAGTGAATAGTGACGATTCTCTCTGCCCAATCAGTAGTCTGTCCTGTTTTCACATTATTTTTTAGTATCCCTCAGCTCACTTGGAACCTCGATGGAGGTGAGGTGATACGAAAAAAAGTACCTGGAAGCAGGTACAGGTACAACATTTCTACAATGGAAACCCAAACAAAGGCGAGTCGAGCCAAAGGGCCTCCACTCAGACTAGCTTGGTTTGAGGGCGTGCCTGACCCTGCCAGCCGCTTGGCAAGCTTTATGACGCATTTTCATTGTGATGTCACAAGTAAAGGAAGTGAAGGGCTGGACTACAAACGAGCTGTTTTCAAGCGGTTGAGAGCAGAGTTTTCTGTGGGAGATGGGAACTCCCTTTGGGCTGTTTCACTTTGCAAACCTGTTACATGCAGAAAGAAGATAGTTAGATACTATATAATTCAATAAAGGAGAGGGAAAAAGCCAAAAAGCATAATACCACCACTTTAAGATACTTTATTTACACAGCAACACACCTACCTCACACAGTTAGCCAAATAGTACATTTTCTGCTCAAAACCGCATTTTGTTCTTTAAACACCAACGCTACATTTCAAAATGCAAATAAACATTCTCTGCATACACAAACTCTATCAAAACACAGCAAACCTGACTCAAAACAAATCAGTCTGTCTTTCCAAGAGGACCAGATCAATCAATCATAGCACAACCACTTTCTAAACACACACATTTGATGGCATTACATCAACTGCATTATTTTTCATGTTCATGTCAAGAAATCCATTGTTTTTTGTAATTCACTTTCCCTTTTCTTGTAAACCACCCTACATTTCTGGCTTGAGGGGTCGAATGTGTGCATTTTTGGCAACAAACTATGCAAAGGTGAATGAGTCATCTTTACTTTAGAGAATGTAGAGTAGGAAAAAAGTTTTATTCGCAACATGAAATTGCAGGGATCAACATGTGTACAAATACGTTTACGTTCTTTCTCGGCCACTATGTTCCTCCTATGAACACCGTCTGGCTCTGCCATCCCTGCACACAAAGCAATCTCAGTCCCGGCTGTTCTCATCTGTAACATTATGATGGTGAAACAAACTACCACATGCCATCAGAGCAGGGGTGTCCGTCTCTAACTTGAAAACTCATCTCTTCTGAGAACATTTCTTATAACATCACTATCCCCTAACCTCTGCACTTCCTGTGCTGTTCTTCTTCTATCTTCTTACAGTTATCTTGTATTTATTGCAATACAATACTTCTTTACCCTATTGATGCTGGGAGTGCTACTGTAAAAGCTCTTACTAGTATTTATTGTCACTTTTGGATCTCTTACTGTATTGATGCTTGTTGGATGTTGTTTTCCCATATATAAGTTGCTTTGAATAAAAGTGTCTGCCAAATGGGTAAATGTAAATACACATTTACATTGAAACAAAAAATGCACAGAAGGGATAGAAACAAAAATGCCTGTTCTGTTCTAATCCCTATTATCTTCAGCCTTTGGCCACATGTTCTCATCCACATCACATCTAATGTCATCTCTTGCTATGTACCTTAAACAGAAATACTTACTGGTTCAGCTATTCCTCCCTGGCCCTCTGCCTCTCCCTGGCCCAACTATTCTTCTCCCTTGTTCAGACATTATTCTTTCTTTCTCTCCTCTTCTGTGTTGTTATGTATCCACATTGGATAAACTCAACTCCAGAAAGTCCCCTTTTTGCTGCATTGTGTAAGTAATTGAAAGAACTTCAACACCTGCCAATGTCTGGTTGAGATTGGAATTAGCTGTGGTTGATCTGTTTTACCCAAATGATAATAAATGAGCTATTTCTCAATGTTTCAGTGATAACTTCATTCCGAATTGCTTATCAGCTGTTTCAATGTAGATTTTGAGCTGCTATTGTAGCAGAAGTAGATGCTTTATACATAATTTAAGGTTTTTCATTTGTGACATGTTGTGTGCTAGCATTTGTTAATAACACAAAAACATCCATAGTTTTGGTATTGGGTAATCTTGTACGTAAAGAAAAACCTAGCATTTCAGAAATGGGTAAATGACTGCATATTTTGTGGAAACAACATGAATTGTGTTATTGGTATGGTATGAACAGACCGATGTGGGGCTAATTGTGTTTAGAGTTTTTGATAATGCGACTACAGATTAGACGAAAGGATGTTAGCGGTTGTAAAAAAACTGTAAACCATCCTAATTAGGAGCAGTGGGCAGTCATGACAGTCATGATTGTACAGCGCCTGGGGAGCAGTTAGGGGTTCAGGGCCTTGCTCAGGGGCACCTTTGGCATTGGTCCACGCTGGACTGGCAACCCTCCGGTTCCCAAGCCAAGTGCCAATGAACTGAGCTAATGCTGCTAAAGCAGACAAAGTCATTGTGAGGCCAGACAAAGGACCGTTTCACTTTGTGTGTTCTTCTTTTTTTTTTTTTTAATAAACTGAATTGAAGACGCAATTGCATAACATTTTATAACACCTTCTTTGCATGTATGTTTAATCTGCACAACCTTATTTCAATAAGTAAGGGGCAGTCTACAGCACAGGCAATTGTTGTTCTTTTAAATGCACACTAGAGGGTAGCACTGGATTACTATTATGAAGGTACAGAGGGCAACACACCTACAAAACTAAATTAATTTCACCAGAAGTGAGAGCTCATATTTTAACTCCTCTCTCTTATCTGCAGGATCCACCTGCAGGCCTCCTGTCTTAATTTAGCTTCATGTAAATTAAGATGTTAAATGTCAGTTTTCTGTAAAAGATTATACAAACTTGGACGTATGGCATGAATCCCAATCATAAGGAACTGGTCAAAGTAAAAACCCTATTAAAATAAAACTTTATTTTCAGATGCTGATATTATAACATTTTTGAGGGGGTCGGGGTAATCACCTACACTGATAGTAATGATGACACGCAATATTTAATATAATAACACTTTGTCAAACCATACAAATGTAAGCAAAGCTCCTCCTCCTGTCAGTCACTCTCAGTTTCAGTGTTGTATTAAATTGCTCCTCCAGCACCTCCTCTCCTCATCCTTCAAACCCTCTAATCTGTCAGCAGTAAGCTCACTTTCCAAGTTACAAGGCCATTCTCAACACACACTGACACCATGCTGGGGACCCTCTGCACTCTCATCACTGCTCTAACATGTAAGGAGGCTGACTTACTGCAGCTTTGACCTCATGTTGGATTCATCAGTCTGTGTGTTTCTCTTGACTCCATGTCATCTTGTTGTTTCCAGGTGTGAGTGGTGTGACGGTGGTGACACAGAAGCCTCCTGTTGTGACGCTGAGGAAGGGAGAGACAGCCACCATGGACTGTGATGCTTTAGCTGGACCTCGCTGGTATAAACAGATTCCAGGAGGAGTTCCTCAGTTTGTAATGAATTATTATCACAGCTGGAGCTCTGCAAAATATGGCTCTGGTTTTTCTTCTCCCAAATTCACACCGACTCATCAGTCAAACACAGATTATCGTCTGACCATCGCCAATGTGGAGGAGGGAGACTCAGCAGTCTATTACTGTGCTACATGGGATGACAATGTTAAAGAGTGGGTCTCACAGTGATTTACACTGTGACAAAAACCTCCTCACAAACACTTCTGCTTTTTGAGTCTGTAGCAAACTTAAATGAGGTGGATAGATGTGGGGGTAATTTCCTGTATTCTGGTGACTTTAACAAGTGGTTTAAAACTGGCTACCTGTGCTGTATACTATGAGTGCAGTACATTTACCATAACAGACAGTTAGTTTGTGTAATTTCCTGAAACACAAACATATTTAGGAAAATGTACCATGTGAGAGTTACATTATAAGAATATATATATCTAATGTAATAAATCTGCTTTAAAATGATTTTGGCACAGGACATTGTCACATACATGTACTGTAGTGGTGTAAATATTCCCCTGGAGCTCTGGGGCCCGGGGCAGTTTCCTGCTTTGAAAGTTTGGTAATCCAGCCTTGTTGATCACCTTTGACATGTCCTGCAGATGCTTCAGTGATGGCATTGTTTCTTAGGGCATTACCACTTCCTGTAGGTCAGTGAAATAGTGTGTAACCATCTGTGTGTTTCTCCATGTCATCTTGTTGTTTCCAGGTGTGAGTGGTGTGACGGTGGTGACACAGAAGCCTCCTGTTGTGACGCTGAGGAAAGGAGAGACAGCCACCATGGACTGTAACCTGGGGACTGTTACAGATCATCCAGCTCAGTGGTATAAACAGATTCCTGGAAGAGCTCCTCAGTATGTCCTGAGGTTTAGTTACAACTGGAGCTGCAAAATATGGCCCTGGTTTCTCTTCTCCAAAAGTGACATCAAATCATCAGTCAAACACAGATTATCGTTTGTTCATCAACAATGTGGAGGAGGGAGACACAGCAGTTGATTACTGTAAAACATTGGACAGGTCTGTTAATATGTTCATATCACAGTGATTTACACTGTGACAAAAACCTCTTCACTGAACACACTCACTTCTGCTATCTGAAGTCTGAAGCCATTTATTAAGTACTGTACAATATACCCATGCTACATGGGCAAAGAGGTTAATAGGATTATTCCTACAGAATTATAAGTATTGTTGGTAATAATTTCTCTCTTCACCTCTTTCTAACTACTTTCTTTTTGATCTACATCCAGATAATCTGTGCATTAACTTCATGATAACTGATTCCAAGGGACAGAGGGAAGAGTACCTGTACCAGAAAACATTCCCAACCCAACCTGTGAGGAGGAGCTGCCATATGAACACAAGGCCCCTGTGTTTTTTTCTTCTTGAAAACAACAACAAGACCCCGTAACTGGGGTCTTCAAATTAGCCATTGCCTATATCCTTTATGTGTATATGTACGCTTAAATTTTACAGAACGTAAAATTCTAGTATGTAATCCTGCTTTGTTAATCAATTATATGAATATAATCTCTCATTTTATGTATTTTGAATTTAACCTGTCTCTGCACGTGGTTGGATCATGTGTCCACACTGATGGTCCTGCTTTATTGTGTGACTCTGGGTATGTACAAGCCTTGTGAAGAGATAGACTTCACCCTAGAGGTTAGTGTGACCCCTGCATTGTTATTAGTGGACCCTGGCAGTAGGGTTTACATTTACTGTGTCATTAACGCCTTTTAAATAAAATTAAAGTGTTCAATCTGCATTTTCTTTCTCTCCTTGAAAACACACGACTATAAACGGTTTAATACCGTTTACCTCAGTTTATTGTGAATGTCATTGTGACTTCCTGTGCTGTGGTCTTTCATTGGCTACACGGTCTATTTGAAAATAAAGAAACTAAATGAAACTAAATGTAAATATTGATAACTTAAAAGGCTAAAGATAATCAAAATGTTCTTCTGTATTAGTAATAATGATAAAGTTTACATTTTTTCTTTTATCATGTATGTCCAGATATTTTTCTTCACATTCTTCATGGTGGAAATGCTCATCAAGATGGTGGCCCTGGGAGTCTTTGGCTATGAAGAAAGCTACCATTGCAAGAACTGGAACAAGTGTGACTTCTTCATCAACTCATCAAAAAACACATAATTTTATTTTTCTCAGTCACCTTAGGAAAGGATTTAATTTCTCAGTTTTAAAGCCAGCATGTGCTATCACAGCAGGACTCTTACTTTCAAACCAGAGAAAAGTTTGGATAACTTGGAAAACTTTTTTCAATGATCAACCTCTCTTCATATTCAGTATTAGAACGTTTGTACAATTTATGCAAAATAACACTCTTCTCTGCAACTGTCTCTTCAGGGCGTTCGATTATTTTCTGGCTTCTCTTGCGGGTCTGTCAGTTGCTCAGGCCAATGCGAATGATCAAAAAAGTTCAAAGTAAGTCATTTAAACAAAAGCAGGACTTTTTGATTGATTGATAGCTTTATATAGAGAGACCCAAAAAACAAAAAGGTGGTGAGCTTTATAGTTCCATACCACTCAGGCCCAGGTGTAACTCATGCCGCTGATGACGACCTCCCAGAACCACATCCTGCAAGACAAACACAAAGAGACAGGACACAGACACAGGACACCTAGTGCCTGGGAGGGGTCGTCACAAAGGCTGGAACGTGAATGTATGTATGTTCAATATTACAAATTTATTTTCCTGTATTTTTAAAGTGCTAAATACTAAAAATTAATTCTGATCTTTTTGTCTTCATAGGTGTAGGGATGCAAGCCTTGGTGTCAGTACTATTGGACACCATACCAATGCTTGCAAATGTTCTCATCGTCTACCTAGGTTGTCACGATGAACAAAGATCATGTTTTATGTAATGGATGCTTCTGGAGTTTTGTATTTTTTGTACGTGTCACTTTTGTAAGTACACACTTAGTTACAGTTTTTCTTAATTGCTTACTATAACCAGGCTTTTGAACTAAAATTTCAAAACCATAACTCTATTTTTCAAAAAGCACACCCATTTCTCTAAACTCTACACACAAATCCTTTAATTTCTCATTGCCTACACCATGTGGTCATTGAGAAAGCGCTGACATTCAGTATTGTTCACTCAAGTCAGCACAGGTTGAGCTCGATTAGCACACAGCTACCCAGGTGGAAACAGAAACAGTCATTGATAACACACAAATCAAAACCTTCAATAGATAAAGAGCCAGAGTCAGCAAGATTGAATGATTTTGAGTGGAAATCTTTGACCTGAAAATAGGATATTTGGGGAATTTGTGGAAGTTGTGGATTTGTTTAGAGTTTCAAGAAAAAGAGGCATAATAGAAATGTGTTTAAGCAATCGAGAAAAACTGTAACAACCTTATTTTGTTTTGGTATTCTTCCAGACTGATCAATTTTGGCTGGGCTTGACATAAGGGTCTGTAAAGCTGGTTGTGTAGCTTTTCCCTGTTAGGTCTAAATTAAATTGAAGGCAGTAACACCAAATATTCTCATGTTGCTGGTGCAGTTTCAACAAAGCAGACTTTTGGAACCCTTGCTCTAAATAACCACTCTTTACTTACCAAACCAGATCGTCTCCTTTATCATGCTGAACGTTACCGCAGTCTTCATCAGCACCAACTTCTCAGAGAACATGGAAAGGAAGGCAAAACAGCATTGTGTTGCCAATATGTCCTTCAATCAGTGCTATGGCACGTTAACCACCTGGTTGCCGAGGATCTCCCATAGATACAACAGTTCAGTAACTGTAAATGTACTTTTTTGAAAGGAACATTTAAAACATTTTGTTATGTTTGTGGTCAGTCTGCAGTGGCATGTGTGTATAAATAGCCACTTTTCACTTCCCCAACCAGATTGGCTCCTTTATCATGTTGAACGTAACCACAGTCTTTCTTAGCAGCAATTACTCAGAAAACATGGAAAGGATGTCAAAACAGCATCGTGCTGCCAATGTGTCCTTCGATCAGCTTTATGACAAGTTAACCGTCTGGTTGTAGAGGATCTCCCGTGGATACAACAGGTCAGTAACTGTAAATGTACTTTTTTGAAAGGAACACTTAAAACACTTTGTTGTATTAGTAGTCAGATTAGTAGTCTGCAGTGGCATGTTTGTATAACCATGCAAGATTATGTCCAAAATATCGGTTCAAGAGAAAAAAAAGGAGAAATAAAAATGTATTAAACATACTCTATTTTCAGTTATTGCTAAGTGTTTTTATCTATATTCTACTGTATTTATTTTATTTATTATTATATAGTATTACAACTACCCATAGGAAAGCAAAATGAGATCTCATAGTTGTTTCATTCTTTTCTCCCAGACACAAATGAGCTGCTTTTAATACCAAAGTGAGACCAAAGGCCTTTTCTCCCACTTCTCAAATTTATCTCAGGAGAAACAACCATATCAAATCTCATTTATGTCTGACTCTGATCAAAACAAGAGATCTCTAACTGATCTTTAATAAGTCCTGAACACTGGACCATGAGATCAGAGAAAGAGCTCAAAGAAAACTCAGCTGTTATCTCATGATTCTTCTCAAATATGTCTCAGTTTTCTCATATTGGCCTCAGGAGCAAAAAAATTCACCTCTGTCTTACTCTAAAAGATCTCTACAGTATCTTAAATTAGTGATGGACAAAGGGAGGCTTTATGAAACACTGAAACATTTGAAGCAATTGTGCCGGAATTGTGTCGAGGCTTCGAAACACTTCGACACTCGTCTCCACGGTGACATCTACTGGTCACTTTTGATATCGACACATCTTGGTAGCGGTTTCATTGAAACAATGACTGACCAGCGTTTACAATTCTAAACGTCTTATCAATACATGACCAACACGATTTCGGGGAAATCACCATACAACAAACAAACAAATGCCTTCAGATCGTCAGAGACAGCAGATGGGGAGTGCAATAAAATATTTTTAATAAAACACATCTGTGTGTTGTTTAATAAGTAATCACTCATTTAGCTAACGCTTTTCTCAAAAGTAAATCACAATTGCTGTGTCAGAGGGCGCACCTTGAGAGCAACTGGGTGTTAAGTGTCTTGTTCAGGGACACGTAACACAGTGGGAATCGAAACGACATCTCTCACACTAAAGGCATATAGCTTAACCACTACCACACTGAGCTCCTCTCTCCTCTACTTTCTCTCCCTCTGTATGCAACCTCATCCCATTATTGCATGTTACTAACACAACTTCTCCCCTTTCCGGTAGTCTTGTGCTTTTTCGTCCCTCTCCTCTCTCCTCCTATCACTTCCTGCAGGTGTTTCTGGCTCTGGAGCTGTGGAGTCTGGATCTGTGGCTGCGGGTCACCTGCTGCCCCCGTGTTCCTGCTCGACACCCTCTGTTGCAACAACTATTGTTACTAGTCCTCTTGTTATTATTGTTATTGTAGTCATTAACATTATGATTGTTATCATTAACACTACTATAAATATCCATACCCTCTCTTTTTCTCTCTGTTCCTCTCTTGACCCCCCCCCCCCCCCCTCTCTCGTCGTCTCTCTCTCTCTCTCTACCTCTCTCTCCTTCACCCCCAACCAGTCGAGGCCACCCTGAGCCATGGTTTTGCTCGAGGTTTCTGCCTCTTAAAAGGAAGTTTTTCCTTGCCTCTGTCGCCTAGTGCTTGCTCTTGGTGGGAATTGTTGGGCTTCTGTAAATAACATCATAGAGACCTGCTCTTTTATGACAAGCGCTGTGACATAACTGTTGTTGTGATTTGGCGCTATATAAATAAAATGAACTGAATTGAATTGA